CATGAGGTTCAACTGCATCATCGGGCCCAATGGATCAGGTAGCAGGCGCTGGGGGTGGGGGGGTCAGTGGGCAGCTGGTGGCCCTGCCTCTCCCCTGTAGCTGTCGGGATTGAAGTTTCAGTTTTGGAGCCTTTGTCAGGACTTTTCTGTGAATGCCACGGGCCTGATGGGGAGGAAACGGTAGCAGTGCAAATGCAGGCCCAGCCATAAGGCCAACATGGCTGTATGGAATGGGTGAGGTTACCGAGAGCTTGCCTATCGAGGAGCAGAGTTGTAGGGCTCGGTGGAGGGGAAGTAAAGACTCATGGGCCTGCTTAAAATCTGTTTATGTGCATCTGAGGGGGTGGGAGCACAAGCAAAGTTTTGGAGGCTTCTGATCTGCTATTGCTTTATGTAACTGAAAGTATATGCTTTTCCAGCATTTTCCATTTCTGGTTGTCTGCTCTTTCCAGCCCTTGTAGAATGAGTGGTTTGCAAATGGCACACCTTGCCTTTGCTGCTTTAGTTTGTAGTTCAGTTTACTAAGGTCACATAAAGATGGTTTTAGTTTAATACTCTGCATCGTAAACTGTAGTGATGGAAAGCTGCTTCTTGATTTGAGTCTGTGGGCTTCTCTGTGTGAGTAAATGCCTCTGGGAAAGAGATGGAGGCTTTGCAGGATGGTAGCTGCTTTGTAGTTTAGCCCACAAGAGCCTTCGTTTGTAGGTGTGACTCCATTTTGTTATCGTGTGGATGCTGGGAACTTTTTGATTCACTTTTTCTGAAAGCTCTATTCAACAAAAAGGATTTTTATCTTCTGTTTGCCAGAGAACAATATGATAGGAGGTGAGGGTTGTCCTAACAAAGAGCCACAAGGATGGGCTTAGCATTTGGTCTTAGTTTCTCCAGTCTGTTAATGATTTAGTTTATGATGTAGATTTTTAGATCCTGTTGTTTCTTCATTTACCTAATTAAAGTGAGATTATGAATGTAAGTAACTATTTCTTAGCATTATTACCATGTTCTTTATCATCATATCCCCACTATTGCATATTGGAAAGTCTCAAAATTATGGCTACATTTTCCAGGTACTCTTTCAGTTAAATCTGAATACATTTTATAGCTTAATCCAGGGAAAAAAATTGTGAATATTGCATAATCTCTTGAGTTAAGTATCTGTTTCCCCCCTAGTATTCTTCATTTTATGGTATTTTGGAGAATAAGTCAAAATATTGCCAATGTAGCAAGAAGGCAGAAAATAATTAAGCTGTTAAATGCTCAAGAATAAGGGGGAAACCCAAAAAAAGGATTCAATTAAGAGAATTTTCATCTAAGGAGTGTGATCAGAGAACTTTGTTGCTGCAGTGGATGGATCTGGGAAAGTACTTTTTTTTTTTTTTCTGTAGAACACGTGTTCTAGTGGAAAAGTTTCAGTTATACGATAGAATGCCTATGCAGCTAACCTCACTGACTGCTTTATAGAAAGAAAGCTACCAAGTAAGGATTATGATGTTGCTCACTCAGTTTAAGTAATGACCTCTGGAGACGGTTGTGCAAGGAAAAATTGTTAATAAAGCTGAACAAATAACAAATCACTTCTGTGATATTTATTACAGACAAGCTTCTTATCTGCTGCCAGTGTGTTACATCTTAGAAATGTATTTCTTATATGCAATAATTTTTCCTCAATGAAATATAGAATTAATAAATACTTTTGCGTTTATGTATGTTTTTATTTAATTCTTAATCAAAGATCAAGATTTGCTCCCTTAAATTTCTACCCTGTCAAAGCAATTTTTTTTTTTTTTTTTTTTTTAGGAAAATCTAACATAATGGATGCTGTTAGTTTTGTGATGTGTGAAAAGACATCTAATTTGCGAGTTAAAAGTGTTCGAGAACTTATTCATGGAGCACATGTTGGAAAACCAGTTTCTTCTACAGCTAGTGTGAAGATAGTGTATTGTGAAGAAGATGGGGAAGAAAAAACATTTTCAAGAATTATTCGTGGTAGGTAGTACGTTCTGTTTCATGTACTGTCTGTTGTCTGATGTATAAAAAATGGAGACCACCTTTGAATTTCAGATGCCTGATATTCTTTCATATTTGGGTGGATTAAGCCCATGAGTATTGCAATACTTCTTATGGTCCTTCAGTAGCATTTTGATAGCCAAGGGAATTGAAAAAATTGAAAAAAAATGAAAAATTTTTCCAATTGAAAAAAACATACTGAGGCAAAGTTAGAAAATGAAACAAGTGATTAATATATGTTTGTTGCTCCATACTTTGATCTGTAGATAGATGCTTGGAATATGTAGATGGTGCAGGCTCTAGAAAAAGGGGTGCCTTCCTGCAGGCATGAGCATTTAAGCCACTGTCAATACCTTTTGGAAGTGTGCAACTAGCATTTTCATACAGAAAAATGGAATTATTGAAATGGCTAAGGGAGTAGTTGAGATCTGTTTTCTTCCGTGAGGAAACTGCTCAGTAAATTGTTCCGCTAGTTTAGTTCTTTTCCTATGGATTTTGTGTTGTAGCCATTTTATAGTATTTCTTTTTTACTTTCCTCCTTTAGGTAATTGTTCTGAATTTCTTTTCAATGATAAAGCTGTCAGCCGATCTACTTACATATCTGAGCTTGAAAAAGTAGGCATACTTGTCAAAGTTAGGAATTGTCTCATTTTTCAGGTGAGCATTTAAGGTACTTAAAGAAAAAGCTTCTGAGATTATTTCATAGGAGTACACAGCTGTCTATGCATCAGAAAAGGGGGCACCCTTTAGCTAATTTCAAGCCAATACATTTTTTTCGTAATCTCTGCCAAGAGTTACAAGACTGCAAAATTGAAATAATGGGGTTTATGTGTACAGGAGTGCACTAGTAAGAAAGAAGCTAATCTGGAAGAAATTGAGGACTTGTATTATTCAGAGTATATGAGAAAATGTGCGTGTCTTTATAAATGTTTAGTGTGTTAAATTCTAGGAGTGTTATAAATAGGAAAAGATAATTTAATCTTACAACACTCCTGCTATCAAGATGCGTGAAAAATTACGGGATTTTGTTAACATTGAAGGGTTGAAAATCCTGCTGAGTTATTAGTTCACAAGCATTTAACAATATAGGTCAGAAATGCCTTATAGCTATGATGAATATATTTCACAGGATTGTCTTTGTTACAGTTGCTGAGGAAAATTCCCAAGTAAGAATTGGGGTTTCCCTCTATATGGATTCTTATTGTGATAATAATTTGTATGATGAGGGCATTTGCCCACTATAAAAATAGAATAAATAGTCACAAAACTTACTTCCTACGCTTTACTGACGATAGTAACTCCTTCAGATCAGTGAAGATTTGAGCAGCTAACACAGGGACAAAAACTGTGCGCACCTTAACTTTGGGAGTTACGTAACCTTCTAGTGCATTGATTTCAGCTGGTTTGCTTTTGACATACTGGGGGGGTGGGGGTAGTTTATTTTTTGTTGAAAATGAGTTTCAATTCCTTCAAAGAGGCTAAGATAATTTTGGCATTCTGATACTGCTTACTGATTTCTGCAGGTTGGTTTAGTTTGAAGGTGTTTCTCATAGACCTTACCTGACATTCTAAAACTTTTAGTGATGTCACTTAATTAGGTGAGGTAACTAGGTGATACTCATTTTGGTCCTAAACTTTTCCTTGGGTTTGAATCTAAAAGTATTTCTGTCCAATTCTATTAACCATAAATATATCCAGAGATAAATCTGTACTATAATCCTTTTAAAGTAATTCATTAGACAACATACTGATCTACAGTGCTGCATTATTTTTTCGCAATTTTGTTGTAGGGAACAGTAGAATCAATTGCAATGAAGAAGCCGAAGGAGAGAACTCAACTTTTTGAACAAATCAGTAATTCATGGGAATATGCCGAAGAATATGAACAAAAAAAGAAAAAAATGCAGCAAGCAGAAGAGGATGCACAGTTTAATTATAACAAGAAAAAAAGTGTTGCAGCAGAACGCAAACAAGCAAAGATAGAGAAAGAGGAGGTAACGCAAAGTTATTCCTTTTTTACATGTTAAGGTCTCAGATTTTGCATCTTTTACGAACTTAAAATACAGGATTTTTAATTAAAAAACCCCCTGGTTTTATGTAGTATTTTTTTTGCTATGATGTGCTATATGATAATTTAGTATAATGTAGAAGGGTAGAGGAATACATATAATAAAATAAATGAAAGTAGGTTTGCCAGTGTAATTAAAGTGTTGACTTAGATGTTTGAGTTTTGATTAGTGCACATTACTGGAATTACAGCTATTGGTACATCGCCTTGCGTCACTTTGGACTTGAAATTAGACTGCTAATGATAAAAATCCTTTTTATAAACCATAAATAAAATTTTAATGTTGGTAGGCAGAGCATTACCAGATGCTTCTCAAGGAACTGGATGAAGAAAGGATACAGATGAAGCTTTTCCGGCTTTATCACAATGAAAAAAACATTTACTTTCTGAAAAAAAGTTGGGATGAAAAGAATATGGAGGCTAGTATCAAGAAGGAGTCTCTTTCTACAGCTGAAGATGCATTTAGAGCCAAGAAAAAAGTGGTTGGTGTACTAAACAGAGACCAACAGCACATGGAAAAAGAAATGAAGTAGGTTTTCCAATCAGATTCTCTGATAGTTGAGTTAAAGCATAGTCTGCACTGGGAATTGCTGGCAGGCGTGCATTTCCTGTTAAAGCCACGGATGATACCTCCAATGCTATGGAAGTCAGTTTGTTGCAGTTTACTAGAGTAATATCTAGGCATTGATTTCACCTCCACCACTGTGCCTAGGCTGTCAATAATTTCATTATATAAATACTCGTTTGCTATTAAGTTTGTAGAAGGTTATGCTTTAGTTCTTAAATTTCTATTTTAAGTGAGTATTAAAAGAAATATAATCTGTGGGTGTGTAACCTTACAGTTGACAACTGATTATTTGTTTGCTTGTGTAGTTGGCAGAGCCTTGTTCTTTTTCTTTTTTGTTGTGGTTGTGTCGTTTTGAATGTGTTTTGTGGTGGTTGGTTGGTTGGGTTGTTTTGGGTTTGGTTTTAGGTTTTGGGGCTGCTTGGGTTTTTTTGTTTTGTTTTGTTTTGGTTTTTTTTTTTAGGACTCTGGAAGCATCACTAATTCAGCAGAGACCCCTCTATATAAAAGCAAAGGAAAACACTTCCTACCAAATCAAGAAAGTAGAAATGTCTAAAAAATCTCTAAAGGACAAGGAGAAATCCTGCGACAAGGAAAAGCAGAACATAAAAGAACTAGAGATAGAACTGAATGATGTTGAGAAGGCATGGAGAGCATTTGAGAAGAAAGCTGAAGAGCTTTTGCAGAAAGCCGCAGATATTCAGCTGTCAGAAAGTCAGGTGAATTGGGAGGCCAAAAAGTACTGTTTACTGGTGAAGTCCAAATATCCCCACAGATGACAGAGAAACCATTCTTTCACCAATAACCTGTAATTTCCAATGATCTTTTTGCTGTTGAGCTCAAACAAAAACAAAATTGTAACTTTCATTTACAGATTGTTTCATTGGGTGAAGAGAAATGGTGCTGCAGCCTCTTGGGGGAGTGGGCTGTCTCCTTTCAGGGTTGGGTGGGGGATAGAAGTTCCAAATATGGAACACTTCTCTAGGAAATAAATCTAAGTTGCGTAGAGATTTAGAAATTCACAATTGTGAGATTCAAAATGGTGAGCATCTCTCCTAGGGTGTGAAGTACATCTAAGCAATGTGAGAAGATACCTTCTTAGAGGGAGCAGTGAGTTTTCAGTGAACTTGAAAAGAGTTTAATGCAAACTTCAGAAGGGTTGTACACAGGGAGTGTCATTTGCAGATTAGGATTATAGCTACATGTAATTACTTGGTTGTTCTTTCTGGTTTGGTTTTTCTCCCTTTCTTCATGGAAGTCCACGTGGTACATTGTGAGAGGGTAGAATAGAAAACATCCAGTAGGATCTTGGGGTGGGAGGGTAATTTCTGAGAAATGGCTTGTCAGCTGAGGGACAGAACTAGGCCTTTAATTAGGAAAAACAAAAAGACAACAAAAATGCAAAGATAACTTGGTAGTATACATACCATACATATCCACTATCTGCTGTGGGTCAGAATCTAAAACTGAGGTAGCTCATTTATGAGCTATTTTAAGTTCTTTTGGAAGGAAAGGACTGCATCACAGTAAATTCACACTTGAAGAAGCTATCTCTGCAACCATATGGCCAGAAACAATTTTAAAACTAAGTGCTAGCTTTTCTCCACTGTCTTTTCCTTAAAATAGTTTCTGATCAATTAGTGGAGAGCCTGCAGGGCTGTTCTTTTAGTTTGTAAATCTTCCTACTCTGCACTTCAGAGGCATTTGGTCAGTTAGTCATAACTTCACAGGTTTGTTTGAAATGTTTATGTTTACCTTTAAAAAAATTGTTTGGTAACATGAGAATGCTGTAATTATAAATACCAAAACTTGCACTACTTTTGCGCTATGCAAAAACTTAGTGTTAACCTTAAGATTGTGAAGTACTATAAACTTTAGTGACTCATTTTTCAGGAGAGTTCATAAAAGTCTAAAACAAGACTGTAGGCGAGGAGTATTAAGTGTAACCTTTGGGTGGAATCTTTAATAAAATATAACTTCTTATAATGGAATTAGTAGCTAGAAAGATCTGGAGAACTGGGTGGTTTTCATAATGATGATAAAGTAGGCAATTATTGATTGAGGCTGTAACAACTCGAGTCTTCCCGCTTTCAGTGGAGTGAATATTTTTGTTGTTGTTAATTGTCCAGTTGGAGCGCTATAAAGAGCTAAAGGAAATAACAAGAAAGAAAGTAGCTACACTAACCCAGCAGCTAGAAAAACTTCGTTGGGAGGAAAAAGCAGATCAAGAAAGGCTGAAACTTAATCGGAGGAAGAAAAAAGAAGTTGAGGTATTTGTATCAAGCTAGAATTATGTTTAAAGTAGATAATGTTTCTCTACCCCTTCCTCCGGTATAAATGTTTATAGAAATGTGTTAAATGCTTTGACATAAACAAATCCTCAGCAAAGGAGACACGTTGCAAGTGTTAGTTCTGTTTTCATATTGCAACAAGTTTAACAAAATGGCCTCTGAATTTCTTCAGAGAGTGGCTGCGTGGGCCCACGCTGAGGATTTCTTTTTGAAAGCTTTGGCTCTAATATTTTGCAGTTACTCAGAACATATGCTCAACTGTAATCAGTTTCTGGTTTTCTAAGATAGTTTTTCTTTCTGAGATGTCTTACTGCTGTTGTATACTGTATGACAACTCACACCCTTCGTAGGCTTATTTTGATCACAGCTAGCTTTTTGCTGGGATGTTTTTAAGGTCAGTTGTGTGTATGAGTGTGATGTAGTTGGAAAGATCTCCTTGGTATCTGCTCTTCTGTTGCACTTGAGGTGGAGTGTTTGGTGTGAATACACATCATTGCTGCTCTTTTGTTTCTGATTTATCATTGCGGATCCAAACACGTAACAATAAAATACCTACATTTTTCACTATGACTTGGTCACCATGCCTGATGTTCTGTTTCAGAAAAATTATTTCCCAACTCATTGTTCAACTTCATGTGATGCTTCTGATGGAAGTAGAAAGGACAGAAGCTCAGTTCACGATCTGCCTTTTGCTAGAAACCTTGCCCTGTTTGATGTATTGGGGTTTTTTTTTCTTTTTTTTTTTTTTTCCCTCCAGACTATGCTAACCTTGCAGTTTTGTTGCCTACTAAGAAGTTAGAGAGACAAATGCATTTCTTCACCATGTAGTTATGGAGTCAAGGTTTGGAGGAGACTACTTATGTTCAGAAAACTTAAAAATCTGTCAGAGGAGACTTCACCAGTTCTAGAGTTCCTAACACCTCATTCTTGTGCCTATAAACTTGGGTGTGTCAAAAAGTCTATTTTACTGTATATCTCTGAGAACATAAAGTCATCCTTGCCGTAATGCCTGAGTTAATACTTGCACATCCATTTACTCTTGATACTTGAACAATACTATTTTTTCTTTTCGAAGTTACTAGGAAAACCTGGTTAGTATCTAGAAGTGAAATAAATTCTATTGCTAGTATTTATAAAACTCTGCAAGTCCCATTGTACTATTGAGAAGGAAATAAAGGATACTTGAGAGTTCATAAAATGCATATCTGACCATTCAGTGTTGGCATTGCTTATCTGTACTGCTGACATTTGGTCATCACTCCTCACCATGCATGTGACCACGTCTCGCGTGCTCTGTCCAGTTCTGGGCTCCCCAGTACAAGAATGATAGTGGCATCCTGGAGTGAGTCCAGCAGAGAGCCACCAAGCTGGCTGGGGCCGGAGCACCTGGCTTGTGAGGAACAGGCTGAGAACTGGATCTCTTCAGTCTGGAGAGGGAGAGGTGAAGGGGAG